AACTCTAAAATACATGGGAGTGAATTTTTGACCAATTAAACAATTCCGTAGTAAATAGCAAAATCGGCTATTTACATACCCTAAACAACAGCTTGCCACATATGAGATTGACCCTATTATAATTAGTATGTGGGAGTGTATAGAAGCTTCACCACAGTTATGTGTGGATTTAATTGTGAGTATGCCTAAACATGTTGCAGGTCTTAAAACTAAGGGTGGATACACTAAATTAAATAAAAAATTATTTTTCTGGTTTGTTTTTTTAAAATGTGAGTTACAAAACTGGCTCAATGCACTAATTGACTTTAAGAGAGTGTAACTCTTGAAGTACTGAGCCTTTTCAAATAGAACAGAAAGCTAGAAAGCAAGGCTATATTCAGTTTATATTTCATTTATATTGGTTGGATATTTGTTGAGTTATAAGCCTGTACATTCAATTCTTTCAAACATTGAGCCGGACTGTATACTCATACTATGGTTACGCTCACTTAATTGTCTAACATGAATATACTAAGCAAGTTGCTAGTACTAGCGGAGATTTATCGATTAAATAATGATAGTATCCGGCTAAGAATAGGTCACCAACAATTAATCGCAAATGATAAGAAAAGATTCTTTTTATTACATATGATTTATGAAAATATTTGTATTCATTGTGCTTGAAGAATATTTGAGCGAATAACTAGACATGTTGAATTGCTAGAATTCACTGTTTATATTATAACAATATTTGGGTATTAATCCAACCTTATCGTCAAACATGTCACGATCTACATTTAACCATTTAAGGTAATTGATGTCCATAATGTGTCAACTGACTAATACACAATGCGAAAATGATATATTTGAGATCTTAATCTGATAATTACCGCTACACAATTTCTAAATATAGCTAAAATGAATTAATTGATCGTTCAACATAATGTTTATTGGACAGGGGAGGCGGGGAATAAATCAGGCGTTTTAAAGAGAGACAGATATCGGGATCGAGCGGAGAGTTGATATTACTAATAATGCGAACATAATTAATGCTTACTAAATATAAAGGGGTGGATCAATGTAAATCGGAAGCGATTTCTTTATTAGGTCCATTGTTTGATAATCTGTATCCACTCGGAATATTGTACCCTTTTTATTATCTATGAACTTTAATTACAGTTACTATTACCGTTCTACTATTCTTTATAGGAACATTATCTGTTGTCTTTCAACTTGGTTGTTTCACCAGAGTGACACCGTTTAGGACATGATAGTTAGCCTTAAAACAGCATGCAGACGGTTGACATTGCGTTCACTCAACAACCAAATATCAATACAACGAGCAACAATGTCTACCGTCACGCAAGAAGTTGGAGGTGGTGTATAATTTATTCTATACAGCAATAAACCACACCCAGAGTCTACAGTCTTTTGCAAACGTTGACTATTCAATGTATTGATCCTCCGCTTTCTTTCATTCTCCCAGGAAAGACGCAACGCAAGCTCCTCAATCATGATAACATCAATCCTCACATCCGACGTGTGCAATATGCTGTCCGCGGAGAATTAGCCATTCGTGCAGAAAACTTGAAAGCGGCTATTGCCAAGCGTGGACGTAATGGCTTTTCGTTTGATAGTGTGGTTAATTGTAATATCGGTAATCCACAACAGCTTAAACAAAAGCCGATCACCTTCTTTCGCCAGGTAAGGGTGCCGCTGTTCCTTAAACGCTTTATTATCAACAGCCCAAACAAACGAGCGAAACAAAATTTGATTTCTCGATTACGTTATGTAGGTCGCTTCGTTGATAGATTATCCGGACCTACTTATTCCCGAGAATCAATCCAAGGTTGAGGCCTTATATCCTATAGATGCGATCGAGCGTGCACGCAAACTGTTAAAACAGATAGGGGCTGTCGGCGCATATTCTCATTCACAAGGCATAGAATCCATTCGTAACGATGTCGCCGAATTCATAAAAGGTTAGTTACAAAATAAACTTGGCCGGTGCTTATCTTATCACCGGTTGGGTTGATGCTTCCAAAAATGTGTCCACTAATATCAAATTTATATAACCAACGATGTGTATTCTCTTCGACTCCTTTTCAATTTGATCAGAACGTGATGGTTATTCTACAGATCCCGCCTTGATCTTTCTAACGCAAGGTGCCTCACAAGGCGTTCAGAACGTCCTCCAAATCATAATCTCTCATTCCAACGTTGGGGTCATGATTCCCATACCACAGTACCCTCTTTATACCGCTACTCTCGCTCTCTACGATGGGAAACCGGTACCTTACTACCTCAACGAAGAACAGGACTGGGGACTAGACATTGCAGAGCTCACATCCTCCCTCGCTAAAGCAAGATCAGAAGGAGTCGAAGTTCGCGCACTCGTTATCATTAATCCTGGTAATCCAACAGGACAATGCCTCAGCGAGCATAACATGAAAGAGATTATAGAGTTCTGCTATCGGGAAGGACTTATCTTGTTGGCTGACGAAGTGTATCAGGCAAACATATACTATCCGGCTCAAAGACCTTTCCATTCATTCAAGAAGGTTCTCAAGTCCATGGGACCGGAATATGATGAATTCGAATTATTTTCATTCCACTCGATATCGAAAGGTCTGATTGGAGAGTGCGGAAGAAGGGGAGGCTACTTTGAATGTACGGGAATAGATCCAAAGGTGGTAGATGAATTATACAAGATTGCAAGTGTGAATCTATGCCCTAACGTACACGGTCAAGTGATGGTTGATTTGATGGTCAAGCCGCCAAAGAGTGGAGATCCGAGCTATGATTTGTATCAGAACGAGTGTAGAGAAATTTACGAGAGTCTGAGGAGGAGAAGCGCAAAGTTGTGTAAAGTGTTTAATTCTATGGAGGGAGTTACTTGTAATTCGGCTCAGGTATGTTTTCTGCGGCGTTTATCGTACGAAAGCTAGCTATCTTTCTCCCAGAAAAGAACTATCTAGGCTTGCATCATCGGATGGTCGTTAATCTGGAGTTATGTTGGTATAGCCGATTTAACAGTCATTGACCAGATTGCGAATCACTCCTCACCCTTTTATTTATATTCACTTACATGACTGTCATATTGTTTTACTCCCTACTCTGAATTGTATTGCTAATCATTATCATCGCTTTCCAGGGAGCCATGTATCTTTTCCCACAAATCACGTTGCCCCAAAAGGCAATTGAAGCCGCCGAGTTATCCAGCCATCAACCAGACGAGTTTTACTGTTTAGCGATGCTTGATGCCACGGGTGTCTGTGTTGTGCCTGGATCAGGATTTGGACAGAAAGATAATACCTGGCATTTTCGAAGTACTTTCCTTCCACAAGAAGAACTGTTTGAAGGATTTTGTGGTCTATTAACGAAGTTCCATAATGAGTTCATGGACAAATATCGCGACTAATACAAGTCGATGATCAGGCCCCATATCTAGACAATTATTACGTGCGTTTTGTTTTGACCCCTTTGTTTTCTTCTCTTTTTTATTATGTAGATTACTAAAACAAGATTAACAGTCACTTGTGTTAATATTGTAGAAGGTGCAAGAATGCCATACGAAACGAATTTTTCACTGAACCGCAATCATCAAGCCGCGGCGGATGTGTTGTCCGACTTTACGGACGCAGTTCTATAGACGCTATCATTTCACGAGTAATAATTTAAGTTTTCTAATATGTCTGTCAAAATATAAGCAAGAGCGCTGAACGTTTTACAATCCATTGAAAGTGCTGTAATGGCAAATAGGGCTGGAGAAGCACGTGTACGTCTCCGTCCTTGTAAATCGACGAATTCACATCGTTTTGAACATAGATAACCTGCAAGCTTCGTCTATCTTAAAATTTAAGTTACACTTCTTCTCCACGGGATTATGCAATTTACGTGTAAATTCACTGTAATGCCTCAAACATTCTTCAAAACGAATGGCATGGGTAGTGTCTTGATAACCGTTGTCTTGATCACGTATGTGAGACACTGCTTAAGAAAACGGTAAGAGCTTCGGCTATTGATAGATGAACACAGTTTTTGCAGCAGTAATCAGAGGAAAGGTTGGAAATAAACCCAGTGTCGCGATAATACGTCAGTTCCAAATTGGGAAGCTATTATAGAGCTTTGTGAAATTGTTTCCTCCTTGAAATATTTGACTGATTGTGTTAATAAGCCTTCATCGTTGGGCCTTGATCACATAATAATAATAATAACGGCTAATAATTTAACTACCAGTTAGGTGGTACCGTGATTTATTATGCAACGCTGTCATTTCCAAAAGTCGTTTTAAGTGTCTTCTTCACATACACAAATACCGATCGCCCAGACATTTCAAAACCATTAAGAATGACAGACAAACTCGATACTCTAACAGATCTATTGGACGATATTTCTGAACCCTCGGACTGGCCTCAGCCCGAGTATCAAGATCTCGACCGAGCAACCAGGTGCTCGATCTGTAAAGACTTTTACGAAGCTCCAGTGATTACAAAGTGTTCTCACACATTTTGTTCGCTATGCTTGCAACGGTATATAACTATCAATTCTTCTTGTCCTGCTTGTCGGGTAACGGTTGCGTTGTCAGAAACGCGAAGGAATCACGCCGTTGAAGACATTGTGAGACAATTTAAAGTTGCAAGGTTGTGTATTGTTTTTGGTTTTTCGAATTGTCTTCAATGTTTCCCTTTCCATTCTGTTAGCTTTGGTTAGATTGTAATCGTGTGGTGTTCGCGCGAATTGACGCGTATTTGGTAACATTTTGGAGAAACATTTAAAGGGACGCACACTACTAACAAAACAGTGGTCTGAAGATCTTCGTTGTTAAGAATTGCGCGTAGCGGTATGGTTGACGAAAGAAGTCGTATGGATATATGTGAGAATGATAATAAAACACAAACATTGGCGGATGGCAATAAGATGAACAGCTCAGTGACCGATAGAAGTGAGAGTCGTCCGAACGTTGTAAAAAGGTGAGTGGTGTGACTACTGAGGACGACGAACGCCATTGTTGATATTGATCGAGTTTTGCTTACGACTGCTTAGGAAGAAACCAAAGCTTGTGTATTCAATTATCAAAGGCCATAAATTGCGCGAACTATTAAAAGTATGAAAACTTTCTGTGAAGATGTTGCGCTTTATCATCATACGTTTTATTTAGTCCTTTTCGATATTTTAAACAGGAAGAAGGTTTGCCTACATATGGTGATAGGCAACAATTAATAAGACGACATGCAGAATACGTGAATCTATACAATGCGAATTTGGATTCAGCAGAGCCAAAGTCAGAGGCAGAATTACGACAAGTGTTAAGGGATTGGGAGAGAACCCAAAGAACAGATCAATTCAGGAAGGATGCATCAAAGATATGGCGGCAGAGTATCGACTCACAGGACTATCATTCCAAATATAAAGATCAGTTCGCAATGTTAATTGAACAAGCACAAAGAAGTAGAAATACAAGTGACGCTTCACCGAAAATGTCTGAATCTGACGAAATATCACGACTGGTCAGTGGGGAGGAGAGTGTGGCAAATAAGAAATGATATCTGATTGATTTATAACGGGAATGTGTTAGACGAGTGTGTTGTCAGCGCAAACTACCAATGGAAGATAGCTACAATCATAAATATCGTATGACGAAGTGACTGTTATTTAATGTACAATGACGCCGAGAAAGTGACAAACATAATTATGTGTAAATAATTTGGATTCTAACAATACCAGGTTCACGACGAGTTGAGCTATTGAAAACAAAATTCTTAAAATTTGGCAAAAAACTAAACATTTACAATATTAAACATGGAAATGTAACTTACAATAAAAATTTTCAAAACAAACAAATCTTAACATGGATATTAAACCGCTGTCGTTAAAATTTGATAGGCAAGCTTTTTCTAACACATGAATTTATTTTAGTCATCATGATGACGTCAACATATAACGTACTATTGTAAAACATTCTCCAGTAGGATATCAAATTATTTAGATAGAATTTTTATATGTTGAATAACCCGAATGTTACGATGTATAAGAACTTATATATTAATATTGTTCTTTCGAAGCAGCGCATTTCTGTTAAAACTTTATTCAATGGCAATGAAAATTTATGCAAATAATATATACGGTCTACAGACATTCAGTAAACAGAGTAACAATTTATAAGAATGCCTGCTGGCCTAATGTTATCGTGGGTTAATATAGAACTTTATTGGAAGAAACCATTTTGTGTTGTAAAATTACAGTTCATTCAAGACAAATTTCGTTCCCCAGCCGATTCCAGTGAATAAGTAGACGATGTTGTGTCTGAGTCTCAGTCCAGAACTCAGTTGTCTCGGTCCAGAACTGAGACAGGTCCCCAACGCATCTTGAAAAAAAAAAAATAAGCGATAGTCAGAAGAAACCTCAAATTGTTAATTTGACAAATTTATTGACTGTACTAAAATACTTTTTTTTACTTGTCTTTCAACTTTTTCTTTTTAACTTATTTTTTCAGCCTTCCTCCCGGCTTATTATAATTTTTAAACTATATTAAATACATGTTACGATTACTATTAAAATATAATCAAATTACTACTACGATTGTATTTGCATCAACTACAGCTAGAACCACTATACATAATTATGCGACATTAAATAAATAATAAATAGATAAATAATAGATAGTAAAAATAACTATTGCTCTAAACCAGCATGCCAAGCAGCAAACTCACCTTTCCTCTCTAGTCAGCTTCTGGTACAGATCCTTCACAAGCAGCCAAGCAGTCACCAAATCAGCTCCTCAAACCCTCCCATGCCCACCAGTGTCCCATTGGATCCGATTACCCAGCTAATCCGCCAGGGAAAGAAGAAAAGGGAGAGAAGAAGAAAAAAAAGAAAATAGAGTTAGTATTTATAAACGTAAAGCAATGCGGACTTACCTTTATACTTACCAACCTTCTTCCCGTCATCTAAAGCTGTGTAAAAAAAAGGAAAAAAAAAGGAGATGTCTGAGAGTATTCCGGGCATCCCCCGTGACCTACTCGTCAGACCCAGCTGGGTATCGTCACCGCAGGATACACTGGAGACAAGGAGAGTAAGAAGAGCCTCATCAGCAACCACCCGCTCCTCGATCCAGATCCGTAGCCATCCGCCGGCAGAGAAGAAAGAGAGTAGCCACCTAGTAGACCAGTTTGAAGAACAATAGTATTTGTTACTTATCTATTACTTATCTATGTTTGTTTCTCTATATTCATCACTTCTTGTTCTCCCCATTAAGACCGTTGACTACGAAAGTCTTTTGACTCTAAATGAGTTTTTTTGCCGTATTTGGCGACGTTTGTTTCAAGCCAAAAGCCAGTCGGCAAACTTCTTATAGTTGCGGGAGTGGACTGTATTTAACCGCTAAATGTATAATAATAATATTATATTATAACTTGGTTAGACCGTTTGTGTTTCGATTATTTATTTCACAAAGTCAAGACGTCTGATTATAACGTCTAACATGTCCATAAGAAAATTAGAGAGAAAAAAAATACTGAATGCTTAAAAGGAGAATGGAAGGTTCTTGGGGAGTTATTATTTTACTCCTGAATACTCAATAAAAATTTTACTGGTATATTATACTTACAATGACAACTCCTTTTGAAACTTCTTTCGATATTTCCTCGACTTTAGATTTAGCTGGTGCAGTACATCTTGCAAGGAGAAGGCAGGCTTTGTTCATCTCGTGTATTGCATATCTGAAGGAAGACAGTACGTTTGTTTCCGTCCGCTTGTGTGAGTTACGTGATGCAGTCGTATTGTGTGTATTCAAGTACTTTAAGAAACGGCTTTTTGAAGAGGAGTACGTTTCGTTTTCGTCAGACTGTTTGCTCGTGTTGCAGTCGTATTGTGAGTATCCATCCATGTACTTTAAGAAACGGCTTTTTGTAGAGGAGTACATTTCGTTTTCGTCCGACTGTTTGCTCGTGTAAGTTACGTGTTGCAGTCGTATTGTGAGTATCCATGTACTTTAAGAAACGGCTTTTTGGAGAGGAGTACGTTTCGTTTTCGTCCGACTGTTTGCTCGTGTAATTGTGTGTATTCATGTACTTTAGGAAACGGCTTTTGGAGGAGTACGTTTCGTTTCGTCCGTTTCGTCCGACTGTTTGCTTGTGTGAGTTACGTGTTGCAGTCGTATTGTGTGTATTCGAGTACTCTAAGAAACGGCTTTTTGGAGAAGTATAGCGTTCCTCCATTGTAAAATTTTTGTTTGCATATTTGAGGTTCTGCCGTTGTTGTGTGTTTTAGACTGCGTTATAAGGAGGGAGTCAAAGGCTTCTTGTCTTGCAAAGTTGGCTTGTGTGTATTCGTCTCAGGGAAAGAGTTGCTCTGTGAAGCGAGAGATACGCGATGATCAAGTTGCACCTTGGTGGGTATATATAAGTGTTTAAGCAGACGCGTACTCGCGTCCGACAACGAATCACGGCGAAGCATTGATTGCTACTATTTGTCTTTATAAGTATAAATGTTGTTCCCTATGTAGTAAGGGGTGTGAGAAATTTTTGTTAACCAATAGTAAAGCATATTAATTAATATAGATGTTTATACAAGTCTATTGTGGATTTTATTGTTTGAACAACTATTAGTAAAAAAATTTTGACTGGCTAGCAAATCCGATGTATCACGCGTATATGTCTCCTTTTTCTTTAAACTGAAAATATCAGCGTATACGTTCATCCAGGTAATACGATACGATATCAACATGACTATATAATTCATGCAGAAAGCCGATTCTTATGTGTGATATTTCATTGGTGATACAAGTGTAACGAGTCACTTTGAGAACAAACTTTTTTACGTACTATATTTATAAATAACGAAACTGTTTGACTAAAATTACAAGGGAAATCGCCACACAAACAATTCCTGTCTTCATATAGCTCCGAATCAAGACGTGTAAGTTATAAGTAAACCGTAAATTACAAAATTTTGAGTCACTAAATTATAAGACAAGGACAATGTTAATATTTATTGAAAGGTGAACGTCTATCGAGTTCTAGTCTTCCTACCTGCAACTGAATCAAAATCATAACTGTTTCTCGGTCTTCAGTAGGTAAAGAGCATACTTGAATATTTACTCTCCTTCTCAAGACGTGACAAGACGTGGTAAGACGTGACAAGACGTGGTAAGACGTGATAAGACGTGATAAGGGTCTTACATCATTATGATAGATGGTATCCCATACTATACGGCGTTATTAGGTTTACGCCCACCCACAACTGTAGCAAGGTATCTAATATCCCGTTGAAGTGTCGCTACATCTGGGATCTGCATCACAACAACGCAACGCTGAGCATATTCCTCTGGTGCCGAATCAGGCATCGGTGGTCGTAGTCCCCCCATAATATCACATGCCAAATATCTAACGAACTCTCTATCTCTAAAGGTGGTTCACCAGCAAATACATAATAATATATTTGCAAGTGTGAAAGACTTCCGGTGCAATAAAGGGTAAACCGCCCCGAACGGTTGATTCACCAATTGTGAGAGACCAGATCGCATATGAATGAATGCTACTCTAATTTCATTCTCGTTAATATTTTGACCCAAATAAGACATATGGCATATTGCATAACAATAATGTTTCTGGGTCTTGTGTGACTCCATAAATTTGAAGGAGATTATAACCCGCACATCTGGCATGATTTCTGAACTATTTATACTGCATATGCTTATATTTTTATTAGCTCGTATAAATTTGACGTCCAATTCGTGGTAGAACACCAATATTATTTTCGAGTAAACGGCTCTTGAGTGAAACCAATAACCCAAATGTTATCCGGTGTTAATATCTCTGGGTATTCCTTTCCTTAGTTAACCGTTTGAGTAGACAATACAATCGTTATAACGATAATCGCTTTTAAATACTTAAATTTGTCTATACCATTTGCATGATAGAAGTCAAATGACTGAGCTCTATCTTTTTGAGTGTCATTTACCCGTTATACATGTGCACCCATGGTATAATGAACATTTTATCATGTTCATGCACTGTATTATTCCATGACTCCAATATGAATGAATCCAAAGACTTGTTGCCAGTCGTCCAATCAAGACGCCTTGACACCTTACAATGATAACAGGAAGCATTTATAACGGGTTCAAATCGCTTTGTACATGCCAGACATTGTTCAATAATCCTTCTTCTTCTTTTATTAGGCAATACCTTTTTTCATTTGCATCATAAGTAAATCCAATGGTAATCCAAACATCTTTGGTAAGAATGTCTGGTGCTTATCACATAACTAGTGGAAAGAATACGCTATGTCAAGTCCAATAAACACGATGCGTAATTGAATAGTTTACCTTGTCATAATGTGAATCGTCTGTTATTTCAAGAGGAGTATGTATTACCCAATTACATGTAGATAAACCGAATACGTTAAATCCATTAGAACAATCGTCTGGAATCCGCATAGTGGTTGTATTTGAGATTTTTTAATAAATTCATCGAGTTGCTTATTATTGCTAGTCCATCCATTGGATAATTCTTTATGACCACACAGGATATTCCGCATGCAGAGCAGAATCCGGATCGAGAGTAACAATGATAGAACCATGTAAAATTTATCTCCATACTTGGTAAATCCAAATACCATCTTATTGCGACTGCCAAGCCATCGGCACCTCTATCGTATAAGTGAGTATATTCTAGCAAACTCGCCCACAGACGTGTCTATTGTGCTATGTATGAGCTTCTAAAAGTAACGACATCGTTCTGAATATGAAAGCAATAAACAAAGACTACGTTTTTGATGTACATCAACCATTGATTGATACACAATATTTGTAAAAAGTATTTGAGACGCGGAGTTATTGAAAGAAGAGATCTCACTTATCGGCGTTATCTAAGAGAATGTAGAATTGATCATCATATTTATTATATTTTCTGCCATTACTTTTTTTAACACGGTCAGCATAATTTTGGAAATACGAAATTGAAAACAGTTTTATTTTTGGTTGATAAAGTTATTTGCACGATCAAAATTCTTGTGAACCGGTGATAGGACTTATTCTTAATTCTCGGTTTAGCGATAAAGTTATTAATAACCTTATAGCGTAAATCAAATAGTTGCAGATGATGACAAAATTATGAACTAAAAAATAACAACACCAAAATCTGTATGAAATGGCGTTGCCTCCCGGACGACATAGCGTCCACAAACGAAAGGCTAATTCTCTACAACTCAATCGCCTATTATATACAATTAAACAGTCTCCAAACTAATCTGAATTCGGTTTTAATGATTTTACTGGGTTCGACAGTGTTTTTACGCAATGAATATGGTTGAATATGAATGCTTTACAAACGAAAACATAACGAAAAAAAAAAACAAAACAAAACAGAACAAAGAAAAAAAACTTTACAGGAAGAAGGGAGGAAACATAGCCCAACAAAAGAAAACTAAAAAAGTGCTTTTTGAATATTAACAGAAGAGATACAATATAAAGAGAGAAAGAATAGGAAATGAGTAAAGAATAGCGATCAAGTACAAATATAACTGTGCCAAATGATTTAACATTAATAACTAAAGGCCGCAAATAGTTTCTAGAAGGGAGAAAGAGTCTATTTTTACCCGTCCATATATCCTTATGCCCAACTTCATCCAGAGAGAGTTATTATAGTATTAAACAATAATGAGAATATATATAAATAGGGTTAGCTTAACCCTTCCTCCCTGAATCTCCCAATCTCCTAAACTGACTACACGCTGAATATCCATACATTGCACATATAATTGTCATTTGCACTTCCACATCAAACAGCCGATCATGCATATCCACTCCACGTAGACATATATTATTTTCATCAAAATATTCAAACCACCCTCACTCACCCGTTCCCCAACTCTTATCGTCTCTCCTGCTTCGGTTCTAGCTCTGTTGACTCCAATATTGCTGTCCTCGATTAGTGGTTTGATGATGTGGATGGAACTGGTGGTGAGTCTGCTGATACTGATAATTATTAAACATTTGTCCTCCTTGGGTTTGCTGCCCATAATAGTTCGGATTATTCTGCTGCTGTGGTTGATGACCAGTAGTCTGTCCTACACCACTCTGCCCTGCCGCAGAGGGTTTGTCAGTATAACTCTTGTATTGAGTGGCTGATAACTCTGAACTATTGTTATTAGTTCCTTTGCTAGCTGGTGTATTGGAACCAGCGCTAGCAGTCGTAGATTGAGTATTGTTCGCACCACTGTTGCCTAGAAAATTCTGCAGTTGAGGAATATTAGTCCCGTAGCTTTTTTGGTAATCATGCATCCCTGGAACGCCTGGCAGATGGTGTACGTTGCTACCAGCAACATCTTCGTATCCGGCGGCGGACGTTGTGTGAGAATAATGATGGGGTGTGCTGGGCGTTGTCGGAGTGGTAGGATATCCATACGCAGACGGGCCAGATGCTGATCCTGGTTTAGTAGAGTGATGGTATGGATGCATTGGATATTTACCTACAAATGGTTGATAACTTGATTGTCCATAATTAGGAAACTGTGCTCCAACATAATAATATCCAGTATAATATGGTGCCATGTTGGTACTGATTGGATATGGAGGTTGCTGCGCCTGTGGATTTTGTACTTGCTGCTGATTAGATCCTTGCTGAGATGCCGATGTTTGATTACCAGGCTGAGCACTAGACGATGTCTGAGTATCTGCAGTATATTTATTATTTTCACGTGTTCCATATGTAGCAGCGGCGACGGGTGACGCCTGGCCATAGCCAGCGTTCGGATCGCCAGAAGGATAATAACCCATCAAACGAGACGCATCGGCTGGATACATGGCACCATACTCGTGCAAAGCTGGCGCGAGAGTAAACTGTGACATCTGACTAGGAGGCTGACTCGGCAGGTATGATCCATATGGAGATGAAAGCGGTTCGCCAATGCCCACATGATGCTGTTGTCCAAGGTAGGCAGCCGTAGCTGCGGTTGATTGCTCTTGTTGCTGTTTAAAGTAATTTGTAGCAAATACTGCCGGATTAGCTGATGGTGCATTATTAGCAGAGGGGAGGACACTCTGAACAGATGCAAGACGACTCGCAGGAACGGAAGCTGTCTGCTGAGGAGTTGCCTGCTGGTGGTGTTGTTGATGAGATTGCTGTTGAGATGCTTGTTGTTGTTGTGACAATTGTTGCTGTGACTGTTGAGTAACTACAGATTGCTGTTGTGCTTGTGGAGCGGGTGTTGGTTGAGCAGATGATAAAGCCTGCTGTTGTTGTTGCTGTTGTTGTTGCTGTTGTTGCTGTTGAAGATGCTGCTGTTGAAGCTGTTGTTGTTGGAGCTGCTGTTGCTGCTGCTGCTGCTGCTGCTGTTGTTGTTGCTGCTGCTGTTGCTGCTGCTGTTGTTGCTGTTGTTGCTGTTGTTGCTGTTGTTGCTGAAGGATGCTTGATTGATTAGCCTGAACAGCAGATTGCGGCTGCTGAGTTTGCTTCACCTGTTGTTGTGGAGATGATTGTAACACCTGTGGAGACGATTGTGGTTGAGGTAAATGTTGTTGAACAGATTGCGCTTGTGCTTGAGTAGTGACCGATTGCGCGGACGATGCCTGCGTCTCAACGACTGTCTGAGGTTTAGTCTGAATCTTGTCTTCAGACTTGTGGGATACATTCATCGATAACTTGTCCGTGTCATTGTTATCATTGGAATTACTCAATAAATCTATATTACCAAATTGTACGCTGACCCTCTCAACATCTACCCCGGCACTTGGCATAACTACTGCAGCAACTTGCCTCATTCGACGACCGGTAGCCGGTTTACTCTTGTGAGCATTTGGTGGTGTTGCTTCTTTAGCACGTGGTGAAGGGATTGTGACTGAAGGAGATATATTGGAGGCGGATAATTGTTCTGATTGTGTCAACTCATTTACAGTCTGTTGTATGGTCTCTTCTACTTTTGTAGGGGTCGACACAGCAGCAGCTGATGGACGAGGTGAAGGCACTTTGGCCGGAGGTTCATTATTAGGTTCGCTTTCCGTGTGACTGGGTGTTATCTGCCCTATTGCAGGCGATTTAGATGGTGATTTTGCGGGTGATTTAATTTGAGAGTTTGATGGCTGCGGAGAAGATGGTTTCTTTGCTTCAGGTGCGGTTTTGGCTGGTGCTGAAAGTGATTCTTGTTTGCTTTCGGGCTTGTTATCATCTCTGCAATCAAAAGTATCGAGTGTTAATAAATGTCAACGATGAATCTAAATGCATATAAGAAATCAATATGCCACCATACAACTGCCAACATTTAACGTTTTAGCATTGGAAATATCCACAAGATAATCACTATACAGAATGTTATGAACTTATTTCAAACTTCCATATAATACAAAATACGCACTTTACGATCTGAGCCCATGACATAGTCGGACTAGTTATTGTCCTTGGCTTCTGGCCCAATCCTGATGATGCTTTCTCGCTCTTCTGAATTTCAACCCCTCTACTATTGTCTTTCACCTTATCCGCTGTAACCCAGGGATCTTTTGGTTGTTGTTCTATGGTACTCCATGTATTATTGACGCTTGCAGGATTGTCCCATGTATCATTTGTTTTACCCTCACCGGACGTATTAGTCCAATTACCATTATTATTAGTTCCGGTATTATCACCCCAATTAGCGTCACTGGCAGCCGGGTCAGGATTCTTCCACCCAATCGGTGCATCATCGTCTGCACCCTTCACTCGATTATCCGTACTCGTACCATGAAAGCCTCGGTTTCCATCTTTCGCTGCGCGATGGTTATTACTTCTTGGTTTGCTCCAAGAGTTATCTTCGTGCTGGCTGGGACCGTTCACTTGACGTGGCGGACGTTGGTAACCTACATTGGATAGCGCATCAAAATATTGGATATTGGAAATCAATGACCAAGGAGAGAATGATAAGAGGAGGAGACCAACCTGCGTTGGCGGCACCGTTTTCGCGGGGTTTGTTGCCATGACGGGGAGTGTCGCTTGCGTGGTGCCTTCCGCTGCGGGTCGATGCATCTGTGGTGAAGCATAGATTGAAAAATCAATGTTTGTTTATAGGCGAGTGATATAGTAGGGTCAAATACGTATACGAATAAGACGTAATATAATATATGTATAAATAACAACGTATTTCGTCCTATTTATATCCAAATTGTTTCCTCCTCCTTTTCCTCGCTCCTCGCTCTCGACTTACCGCTGCGGGGCCGCCCACGGTCATTACGCTCGTTGCGTTCGCCACGGTCACTACGATCATTGTTACGCTGGTGTCCACGCTGGCTATTACCGGATTGTTGTCCATTAGTTTTAGACTTTGGAGCGGATTCTTTTTTATTTTTCTTCGATTTTACTTTGTCCCACTGGTTTACGTGGCCTATGTTGGTCATCAAAATATGGGATGAAGATTAAAAGAAATGAGTGAAGGATAATTTGACACGGATAATAACAATAATACGCGTCTTTTCTTGTACTAATGGAATAGAATGTAGACCGATGGTTCGTTTGAATAAATGATCGTCAATCATTGCAAACACCGTATGTCTGTTCGTAGGACTCTTACTAATACAACAAAACGCGATTGAATACGATAACAGTGTACAGAATAGTCGAATTGTTGGAAAGATCGTGTATAATTGGATATTGTCGATAAAGTTTATTGGGGTTGTTTTAATGGTTAAAGGAGAGTAGGTCAAGGCTAAAAGAGCTAGAGAGTTGAGCTCATCGCCGAGCGATATTCGTCGTGGCTATCAGTCTTCTGTGCAGCTGTCAGCCTGTTCTTTTGCACGCTTGTTTATAGAACGGGCTACTTGTTGTGCCAGTACATGCCACATAGTATGTCTGCGTTGTGTCTATGTGGTCGACTTGCTTGGGTCCATGAGCTAACTTTTCCCTGCTATAATATGTAATATGCTACAAAGTATATCTTCTCTTGACCCTACCTTCACTAATTCGGTTAACCGCCGTTTCGAGGTCACCCTCAGCGTCCTGAAGGGTGAAGAGTAAGTCTTCTTCTGACCATTCAGCAAATACTTCCTTCAGGTGTCCCAACGCATCTTTATACATATTTTTCAGTTGTTTGACTTCTTCCGCATCTGCTACGTTCGTGGCTGCTGCTGGGTTATTATGTTTTGTTTGTTGTGAGTTGTGTTCGATTGTTGTCATTGTGTATAGATGTGGGTATGTGAGGGTGGAGTTGTGCTGGGTGGAGTGGAGCGGGCGTAGCTGTTTGTTGGCAAAGTGACGATCTCTAAGTGGAAAACGTACTTTGGTAAATCACGTCGAAATTTACGGTAAGGAGGGGGGGGAGGAGAGGGGGGGGGGGGGCGTAAAAATTTTTTTGTACTGATTGTGTCGCAATCATTGTTGACATTATAATTCGCCCCAGTGATAATGCTGGCATTGTGGGATTTTGGGGGACATTACCATATCACATGCACCATTATGAATATAGAAGAAAGAAGCGCGCGAAAAAGAAATCTTTGTTTGCGATAAAACCTGTAAATCGAAAGATATGGCAGGTGGAAGAAGGCGATATGCATGAGACGAGATTATACAAATCTCCTCAACTTTGGCGAATAATCTGCTCGTAATTTTTACCTGCCTGTTTATTTATTTGGCACATTCCCCAAAAATTACGACCATGTGACCAATGTTTATCCATCACATCCTAAGCATAAAGAGAGTGAGAATAACAATCAATGTACTCGTAGTCGCTACGAATGGGCGATTTTGAGTGCATTACCTGTGTATGTGTAGTATAATATGTGTGTACAGCACTTTAGACGAGAATTAGCTATGGGAAACCCAAACACAGCCAGCCTAATGCGAAACCTACGGGCTTGAAAAAACCGAGGTTGGGAATAACCATTAACAGATGACCAGAATTATTATATGCCGAAAATGGATATTAGCAGTGTCTTGTTTTATAAGTCATCATTGTACAACGTACAATTATTTTCCGTACCTCTTTTATTCCCCGATTGTAACCTCGATAAATACATGGTCAGTTCTGACCCCCTCAAAGTTGATTTTCCCAAGTGAATGATGCTGATCAACAGAATATGAATTTATTCAATTGAAAACACTTGGCCACTCAATATTTGATTCTGGCAGCGTCAAATTTGTTCTTTAGCTTGTTTGAAAAATTAAATGCAAATTCTAGTCCATCCTTGCTATTTTTCATCTGACAAAAAGATAATATCCAAGTATGCATCAACGCTCAACCTGCACACGTTCAATTGGTTTTGTTTATATTCGGACAAGAATTATTTCTATTTGTTAATTCGTTGACCGACACCTTGAATATTAAACTTTAATCTGTGGGATGACAAATGAAAGTCGAAAGGAAAACTCGGGTAACTCTCCATGCGTAACAGCGTATCCTGTACCTTTGTAACGGTATGGCTGAATTCTGTTTGAAATGAGGTTGTACTAAATACAATATGTGATGGTTGGTGCACATGTTGGATTGCCTGATCAAATATTCCAGTACAAGTACATATATGCTGCATACATATACATCATAAACCTTTTCATTACAAATATTCTCAAAGCCTAGCCATGATTTAAAAGACAGGTAGTTTAACATTAAACAAATTTTAGCTTTTTTCTTATTGCCAAGTCTTTGTTGACATCCATAATCGCATGTAAATATATGAGTCTATTTTCACCATATAAGAAGACTCTTATTTATGAGATATTTATTGCACTTCACATAAATATAAAGGGTGTTATAATGTCTTTGCTTATTACATAGTCCGCATTAGTATAAGTAGCTGACATATGGTGGTACTCAATCATCAATGTTTGTTACATAATTGCATTAAGGCGTTGAACTGCCTATCTTCGGTTTCATAAATTACATTTGAGCTGAGAGATAGAGAGGTAGTTATTTCACAATGTAACAAGCTTTATTTATGGCAGACATTTAACAAGAAAGTACAATCACCAAAGCAATGCTTTACTGGGCTGCTGAACAAACCAAGAACAAATAATATGATGTATGAGTAGTCTATAAACTCACACGATCATCTAAAGTGCTACTATTACTATGCATAGCTCTTTTGAGATAAGTTTATATTCGCCAAGAACACGTGTGTGTATGGATATTTTTACTTGAACCCGATAGTAAACCGTCAAGTCAATATTAAAATACTGCAGTTGTCTTGTTTCCAAACAATTTTGTCAACAGATTTATTTTTTTTGTTCAGCAACCAACTCGATATTTTGTTCCAGAATTTTATTCTTGTTTTTAACGGGAACATTTAACTTGCGAAGCGGCAATGTGTCAATAGCCTCTGCCCACGCCAATCTTGATGCTCAACGCGAGTGATAAGCAGACATGATTTACTTAATGTTATTCTCACATTTAAATTTAGTGTTAAGTTTAAATTTCAATTTTGGCTACATTTTTGTCAAGTCATTCAAACGGTATCATAAACTCTTAATATGAGACTCGAATTCGTTCGATTTGTTGCATTGTTTGGAACAAAGAGTTTTATGCGTATACATGTAATCATGACAAGCCACGTTACTTTTCTTTGTGAATCAATTCCTTGCGTTTCGATACAAACAACTGCACTTTGAAGAGAGAGAATACAAATAAAAGATTAGTAAATCCCCCCAAAAAATAACATTCGTTATAAAATTGCTCTGAGCATACAGAATGGTTCCTCAATTACAAGAGTTGGCCCTAGCGCTATTTGCGCGACCAATTAGCAATCCATAATCTTGGTTGTAATACCCGCAAACAGTGTTTCCTTGTAACCAAGTTTTATTTGGCAAATAAAATATCAAGCAGCCTGTTTATGCCCTGTTTATGTTTACAATGTTGCTCAAGAATTCTGCCTTATTCCCAAGATAGAATATATAAATATGTTAAACGGAGTTAGTTAAATATGTGTAATATTTGGTAAAGTGAGATATACTGTACATTAACACTTGAGTGCATCCTGGCATCAACACTGCTCCTTTCTTTCAACATCTGTAAATGACTACGGCCTACGTCTGCATAATCTTTTACAAAATGTATTATAAATTGTTTCTTGGAAGTGGACGCGATGTAATCTAAACATGGCTCTTTTTTCTCAGTATTAATATTCCTCGTTAAGAAATAAGCATTATAGTCTATAATGTCTTTTTGTGTCGCGTTCTGACGTAATGTATAAAGTGATCGACCTGTATATGTATGCTAGCAAGCAGGGTCTCGCGATAAGCAGGTCAGTAATCGTACCATGCGTACAATCGAACGAGAGGGAGATTACGATATTGTTAGTTGATTGTATAGTCGATTGTATAGTTGATTGTATAAATCGATTGTATAAATCGATTGTTTAGTCGTGATTGTTTAGTCGATTGTATAGTCGATTGTATTTTGACATCCAAGTGTTCATATATGGCTTACAAAGAAGAGATCAAGTTGTACAAGGAACTTCCAACGGAATCCATTTTGGGTTGACAAGAAAATTACCAAGTTGGCTGAAACAATATAGTGGCTGCTGGTTGGGGGTGATAAAAGACTTATTTTTTGCCAAGAGTATATATATTTAGTATTCAAGGTACATTCATCAGCCAGTTCAGCCAGTGTCTTACCATGGTGTAATCATTT